AAATGACAGGTTAGGGTTAGTTAAATGTCAACCCATCACTAAACAATGCTTTTCAATCTGCACCGCCTAACCCCTAACCCGTTACGAGTTAGCCCGGTTGGCAGGCTAACCCGCATTTGTTTATTTAGTGTTTTTAATCAATTATTTAAACAAAAGATAAAAATTTCATTATATTTTTTATATTGTATAAAAAAAATATTTTAAAAAATAAAAAAATTTTAAAAAAATAATTGGCGGGTTGGCCGTCAACCCACCATGGCGGGTTAGGGTTGGCTAAAAGCCAACCCGCCATTACACGGGACTTGTTTAACCCGTATCGCCTAACCCTAACTCGTCACAAGCCAACTTGCAACCCGTGGGTTAACCCATATTACCACCCCTATTCCAATCACTGAGATGGGACAGTCTCATAATTGTCGAAATGAGATGGAGCACAAAAGTGTCTCATTGTGATATGTTATCTTTTTTTTAAAAAAAATTTTTTTTTACAAATTTACTTTACTTATCAAATATTACCTTTAGTCTTTAATATAAGACCTCATTTGATTTTTATTTTGGTTCTAAATATAAAACCCCAATCTACTTTGTCTCTGATATTTATATATATTTTTTAAGATAGTCTTTCTAACAATAGTAGTTCTAGTCAATATATTTGATTGGCAAAGATATTTTAGGAAAGACAATGCTTATTTATAAGAAATAACTAACTTAATTTTTTTTCTTAATCTCTTTAAATTAGTTAACTAGTTTTTATAATTAAGATGGGAGGTAATATTACTTTAATTGTGTTATTTACAAATTCTTAGGTCCCAGTTACATGTTGTCTTTTTAGCGGGAATTTATATTATAAAAAATCATAGATGACTTTATATTATAACTGAATTTAATTCTCTGTTTTTTTTAAACTGTACTCCCTCCGTTTCTTATTATAAGAGACATTTGATGCTTATGGCATGTTTCTATATATAAGAGACACTTACAAGTTGTCTCTACTTTTTTGTGTTGATTTACTATTTTACCCATATTTATTATCTCCAACTCACACTCTATCTTCCTCTCACTTCTCTTTCTTTTAATAATTTAATTGTTCTCTCTCATGCTCTCTCTCCTTATTAATGAGGGCATTTTTGAAAAAAAAATTATACTTTTTACACATTAATTATTCTTAACTAATTTTAACTGTTTTTTTGATCAACGTACTTCGGTTATTTGTCTCTTATAATAAGGAATGGAGGGAGTATTAGTTTTTATACAATGAACAACAACAAGAAAAATAATAATCTAATCATGGAAAGAGACAGCATCCACGAGCCCCTAGAGGCTAAAGGCAGAGCAACCATCATTTTAAGTTTTTATTTGTCTTTCTCTGCCATTAATGACTTCCATCTGAGAGAATATGTGTTTTGGGAATTGTGACGCTAAAGGCTGATAATGTTAACTTTACCTTTGTTTTTCTTAACAAGCCAATCTTTAGAGACAATTCACTCCTTTATACGTTCAGGTCAGAAAAAAAAAGAGAGAAAGTATTCATAATTTTTGAGGCAGTTATTTGGTTAGAAATTTGTTTAATTAGTTTATAAAAACAATACTTTTTTTGGTTAAAAAACTTACATGGACCACGAAGAATTGTTACTCTCTCATTTGTTAAATGTTAGAGCTTGTTGAAGATTTGCTTTGATTATGAATATAAATTTTTAATTCCATTATCATATATGGTTTAATCAATAAACATTATGCAATGGGATCTTTTTTTCCAGAGCATTATGCAATGGGATCTAGAATACTCATCTGTAATAAATGTGCATCGGTTTCTTTAGAACATCCCTTTTCATTAAAACTCTGTTGATTGAAACTTCTTTCATGTATGCAATTTATAAAAATATTTGTAAAAAAAATTATAAATTTAAAAAACAAAAAACCAAATCAGTGAAAATAAGTAATATACTCCGTAAAGCAAGTTTATACTTCATATTTGTATATTTCCACGTGTCCTGCATGCAAGTCATTTTTGAGTCCTTTCTTTTTTTTAAAAAAAGTCTCTTCACATGAAGATATGCATTATCAATTACTTTCCTTCAATTTTACCTTTTTACAGTTTTTTATGACTGGGTAATATGACATTTGAGGTAAAATATTATTTTAAAAAATAATCATTTAATAATATGAATTGGCATTTTTTTTCCCTTTTTCAAATATATCAATGATTCAAATGTAACTTTTTAATTTTAGTGTGGTCATTAGCAATGACTAATGACTATATGTAAAAGAAGAATATTAGGAGAATTGCAATGAAGTTGTGAATAAGAAATATTATTACTGATAAGTCCCAACGATAATATAACAGCTTACAATGATAAGTTCGGGAGGCTAATTCTCTTGAGATATAGAGATAAGTTTTGTCTCTTCTAATAAAGTCTTTTTTTGTATACACGGCCTGATTCAAATTTAGGATATCATGTTTAAAAAATCCAACCATCTAACATCTGTTTGGGGGTTTTTGCTAGTTTAATTTGAAATATTTTAATTCAACAACAATTAGACCACGTTTGTTTAAATTAGTGCTTCAATATCCATCCATCAAGGCCTAAAGATCTGAACGATTCACATTGTCCATTGAAAAGCATAGTTGTGCCAAGGCAAGACAGTGATCATCAGCGAATCTCCCTTCGTACTTTGCTGTTTGGATTCTGTAAAGTCATATCTTTTATTTATTTTCACTAAATTCAAAACAATATTTAATAATTTAAACCTCTTTGATGTGTATTGTCATATGCTCATATGGACAAAATAATAATTTGACATAAAAATAATTGTTGCTTTATCTATGTTAAATTAGCATAAGTTTTCTGCATAACATGAAAAAATAAGTCGCATTATTTTGTATAGATATTATTTTTTCAAATTAAAGGAACAAATATCAACAGCTCTAGATTATAAGCGTGAGGATTAAGTTTGGCTGCTTTGAGTGATGAATACCAAATTTGCACAATACATGTTTAATATAATTTTGTTTGTATGTTTTTAATGTTATAATATTATTAGAGATAATTAATCCATAGCTCCTTATAGTTTCAATTAATTTTGAATAAGGTCCTTATAGTTTTTTATCTTTTTATCAGGTCCTTATACTTTTATCTGTTTTTAATTAGATCTTTGTATTTATTTTTCTTTTTGTCAAGTCCTTATAAGTTCATTTTATTTTTAATTAAGTCCTTGAATTTTTTATTCTTTATTTTATAAATTCTAATAGTACTATTATATAAACATAAAATAATATATATATTATTTAATATTAGTTTATAAACAATAATATTCTAAAGATATTGAATTATTATAATGATTTTAATTTTTTCAGCAAAAAAATTAATTGTTCTAAAAAATTTTCTGAATTAATTAATTCTATTACTTTTTTATTACATAATTATTAATTTAATTTAATTATTAATATTTTATATTTCAGTATTAATCTATTTAATTAAGCTTATATTAATTAATAAATAAAAATTAAAACTACATGGACCTAATTAAAAATTTAGTGAAATTATAAGGACTTAATTAAAAGAAAAATAAATACAAGGACCTAATTAAAAAAAGATAAAAGTATAAGGACCTGATAAAAAGAAAAAAAAAACTATAGGGACCTGATTCAAAATTCGTTGAAACTATAAGAACTTGCGGATTAATTAACCCATATTATTATGCATAGAATTTAAAATAAATATTATATCTTAACGGTTAGATTTTCCAAAAAAAATAATTTTTATTCAAAAATCATCAACTGAAAATTTTATATTTGGATTGTTGAAATTGTATATCACACTATAGCGATTAGTGCGACGGTGTTGAAGCTAATTTCACTAGTGAAATTGAACCCCACAACCTGCACTAATATAGGAGAGTATATAATGTGATTAGACTATGGAGAGACAATGAGCTAGAAAAACAAACTAGAGGGAAAAAAAGGAGAGAGAAGTTGTTTTTTTTTTTCGCTTGGAAAAAAGAGGGAAAATGAGAGGGAAAAAAAAAAGGCTAGGAAGAAACTCATTTTGGATTCTTGCCATTACCATCCGTTCCTCATTTTTGTGTTATACTTTTAACATTTATTAATGATGTTAGATAATATATATTTTATTTATTTTCTTTTACTATATCTAATTTAAAGAAATTACCCACTTTTGTTTTTTACCTTGTCATATAACATTTTTCTTGAAATTATTTAGTTTTAAATATAATAACATAAAAATATGTATTCATCAAATAATTTCATGTTGAAATGATTTTTCATTGTGTTATTTAATTTAATTTTAAATCTGATATATTTTTACATAGAAAGATAATTTAGTCATTTAAATATTTATTCTTTTTTCTTTTAATTCTTACCAGTAAATGAGGTGATAGTTTTTTTTTTAATTTTTTTTTCTCTTCTTCATTTTTCTCGTCTCATTTTTTTCGCCCAATGTTTTTTTCCCATTCAAACGGAACTATTTGATATGCACTCTTTTTGCATATTGACCTCCCTCAGAAGAAACAAACCAATAGTTGAGTTCACAATTCACATGAAGATATGAAGGAAGGTGAAATATTGATGGGAAAACTTCGTAAATAGCAGTAAATCACGAGACGAGAGATGAAGGACAAAACTACAGAGGAAAGAATTGGGCATGTCAAGTCGCTGTTCTTCTTTTATTGTTGTCTCTCCTCTCAGTTTTAACGTTAAATCACATCATATCAGAGCATTCCCCCCTCTCTTTCTCTGACTTCCTCTCCCTAGCCATCTGATTTCCTTTCTTCCTCATTCTCTCTCCTCCTCATCTTCCCGCAATACCCTTTTCCTGTTGATCATTTTTCACTGTTTGTCTCGGCATTCTTTTTCTCTATCTCTATCTCTCACCTCACTAGCATTATTATATTCGTTTCTACTCTCTGCATTTTGCATTTTGAAAAGTTCAAATTAAAATAATTGCTTCAAGTCTTCAGCTTCAACCCCGTTTGCTCTTAGCTTTTGTTTTTGTTTGGTTCCTGAGAACTAGTTGAAAAGAGTAGCTAGCAAAGAAAGGAAGCAGAAAGTAACATCTGTTGAGTAGTAGAAAGTAGAAAATCACATGCAGCAACCCCTCCTAACTGCTTTCCTTGGCCTAAGTTTTTGGTAGCAAAACAAAACACAGACATAAGAGAGAGAGAGAGAGAGAGAGGGAAGAGGGATTTCGTTCCAAACAGCACTGAAGATATGACTAAAGGAGAAGACTTTAAGCTCCTCAAAATCCAGGTTTTTTTCTGTCTTCTTCTTTTAAAGCTCACCCCCTTTTTAACCTTCTCCTTCATTTTCTATCAGCACTGCGATATTTATACTTCCTTATATATTTAATGTGTTGAGCATGGTTTTTCTCCTGTTGTTTCCTGCTTCTGTTTCTTCATGTACAGACTTGTGTTCTCAAGGTGAACATCCACTGTGATGGGTGCAAGCAGAAAGTGAAGAAAATCCTTCAGAGAATTGAAGGTCATCACTTTCTTCTCTATCTTTACTGTTTTCCTTCTTCTGTCTTGTCTTTACTGTTCACTCTCCTCTCTCTTGTCCTCACCTTCTTAACTGTCTTGCTTGGTTCATGAACAATTGTATAGAAAAGAAATCGATTGGATAGTTCTTGTTGGAAGCACATTCTGTTATGAATCAGTAGCATTATCTGCAATTCTCAGCATTGGTTTTCTTATTTTTTATGAATAAGCTAGAGAAATATCGAATGTTCTGTTTATTAATCTTCAATGGGAGACTTCTGCTTGCAATTATTAGACTATTGGCTTGTATTAAACATATGGTGCTTCTTTTTTTTTTATTATTGTTTCAAAACGTTTGATCTTGCCTGTATGTTAGAGCTTGGATACGTGATAATGTACTACTTATAATTGATCCTTGTGGTCTGCCTCTTGGTGGTGTTTTGGGCCATTGTCTTGTTTACAGGTGTTTATCAAGTTCAAATAGATGCAGAACAGCAGAAAGTAACAGTTTCTGGAAGCGTTGATTCAGAGACACTGATCAAGAAACTGGTGAGAGCCGGTAAGCATGCTGAGCTCTGGTTGTCTCAGAAGACAAATCAGAACCAGAAGCAGCAGAAGAACAATAATTGTGTGAAGGATGACATCAAGAAAGGGCAGAAGCAAGGAGTGGGGATGGTGAAGGGGCTTGAGGCAGCCTTGAAAAACCAGAAGAAATTTCCAGCTTTTAGTTCTGAGGATGATGACGACTACTACGATGATGAAGAGGAGGATGATGAAGACGATGATGAGCTGAGGTTCATCCGGGAGAAGGCGAATCAGCTGAACCTTCTCAGGCAGCAAGCAGCAGCTGATGCCAATGCTGCTAAAAAAGGAGCTGGAGGAGCCATTTCTCCTGCTGCTTTCAACAATGGTGGAAATCACAACAATAATGGCAAGAAAGGAGGCCCTAATCATCAGAATATGGGAAATAAAGCTAGTCATCATTCAGCTGGAGGGCTTGACCAGAGATCAATGGCTGCTCTGAAAATGAACAATACCCATCTGGGTGGTGGAGAAAAGCTCAATCTTGGAGATCCCAAAAGGGCTAATGACATTGGCACTATGATGAGTTTAGCTGGATTTCACAGCAACAACAATCCAAATCCTGGGAATGCCACTGTTTTGGGCAACAATCTCAGTGGATTTGGAGGATCCCCTTCACCACCAGGACTTCCCAATGGAGGTTTTGCCACTTCTGCTCATCAATACCCACCACCATTGATGAACATGAATGGCTTCAGCAACCAAGCTTCTCCATTGATGAACATGAACATGAATATGCAGGCTAGGCATGCCTTGCAGCAACAACCCCAGATGATGTATCAAAGGTCCCCTATAGTTACTCCTAACACAGGCTATTACTGCTACAACTATAACAACAGCAGCAGCAGCAACAACAACTACATCCCTCCCAATTACTCCTATGCCCTACCTAATTATTATTACCCTGGGAATGATCATTCTGCAGCTCATATGTTCAGTGATGACAACACTAGCAGCAGCTGCTCAATTATGTAATAGTGATAGATTTGTAGAGTGTTAAAAAGGCTGGAAAAAGTTCAATTTGACCTGCATGTCTGCTTTTACTAAGCTTTTTAGTGGTAACTCTGTAAATTTAGTGAGCCTGCAAGCATGTGTTCAGAAGAAGAATGCTTGTGAACTATTTATTTAGATGTATGTTTGGCTTTATTGTTCCCTCTGAGAAAGTTTGCTTTGATTGTTTAGTCCCAAGAGAGTGATGACTCTTAGGGCTTCTTTCCATGACTTTCTTGTCTTTACTGTCACAGAGTTATCCTAGCTTTGCTGGCGAAAAGTTGATAGCTTGGCTTAAAAAAGAGATAAAAAGTTGCATCTGAACATAGAGAGAGAGAGAGAGAGAGGGAGAGAGAGAGATCATGAATATAACAAGAATTAGTGACAGATCTGAAGAAGTGTTACTAACTAACATATTAACATGTGTATGTGGACTATATTTAATCTAATAATGATTTGTTTACTTGATACTTGAATAATGCAACTTAGTTTTGGGGTTTGATTTTGATTGGGACTAGCTTTTAAATTTTTAAACTTTCTGGGTACTGTCATGGCAGACAAGGTGACACAAGTTACTGTTTTGTGTGCAGAAACAATGATGACAGTTGTGGGGTGGACAATGTGCCTTGCTGCGAATATATATTGAATTCTGCACGTTATGTGGAGACGCACGCGTAAGTCACGTGCGTGATCCTGCTGTGATGTAATGTAACCCACAGGACCACTCTACACTGCAGCTTGGGTTATTTAATATCAGACATCCGCTAATTAATTAATACCCTTAACTATATATATCATGATGGCAGCTAGCAAGTGATAGTAATATTAATTATATTTGACCACCAGGCATGCACTGGGTTTTAGGTACTTGTCTGAAAGAAACATCTTGGCTAAATTACCCCAGATTACAAAGAAAAATCAAAATGGAAGTGTAATGCTCCCTTCTATCCTAAATATTTGAGTTACATAATTAATTTATAAATACTAAGGATTTGTTTGAAATAGTTTATAATATCAATCATGATTTACAGAATATGAAGTAAGTAAGTGAGAAGAGTTGTCTCAACTCGTGTGCCATGTTTATTGATCATGAATCCAAACAAGCTCTAAAAAAATTGGTTAAATTAGTTATTCATAATAAATTTGTGTTGGTTTTACTAGAGTATACTTCCTAATCATGTTCATGGTAACTGGTAACTACCTATTTAATGAAAATTCTTTTACTATGTGTAATTATTAGAAATAATTTAAGAAGAAAAATTATAAATTTGAGATACAAAGTGTAATGCATTATATATTTAAGATCAAAATAAACACCTTGTCTAGCTTTTATATTTAGAAACTAAGGCAGGAACTTTCTGGTTAGAGTGATCCCGTTTTAATGGCATGAGATGTTTATTGTATAACCATACGTGCATTCCTAGTATGAATGAAATTTAAGAAAAAAGTGTCACATTGTTATGAAAATGCAACTTATTATAGTGATGTGACCATAAGTACTAAGAAAATCTGACTGAGGTTTTGTAATGCATCATAAAGAAGATGATACGCATGCTACAATACACAACTATTAACAGTTCTTTCATCAGTTCTGTTATTGTCTTTGATTTTGCAGCTTCATTGCTGTGAGGGTGTTTGCTTCAAAGCTACTTTTATTATTCCAGTCATCTGTCAATCTGAGCATTAACTAAACCATTCCTCAAATCCAATCCATCAGAATTGTTGGTAACTGAAATTTCAAAAACAAATATACAAAATCATAGACTTGGGTAAGCTGGGTTCTGCTGGATTTTTCACGTCAATTCTGTTCCCAGCTGGACCTGTCTGTCCAGTGCAGAAGAAGATCTTTTGTTTTTTGCTTTTAGTTTTTGGGTCAGAGATCTCTTTCTATGTTATGCATCAGGTCAGCCGTATTGTCAAAGGTATGTGCTTTCATGAACTCCAGAACTGGGTTTTGGCATTTATTGGACAACCATAAATAGAAACATTCACTCCCATCTGTGTTTATTTAGCTTATCCCATCTTTTACCTCTGATCTGTGAATAGGCTTAGTGGTAAGTTTGCCACCTGTTTTAACCCCACTTGTACGCATTAAAGTGGAACAGTGCGCGGAACCGTGCAGAAATAAAATAAGTCTAAGGTCAGTTAATAACAAGTCTTTGCATCTGGGAGGTGGTTCATTATAGAATTAAAAAGCACTGTTATATAATATTTAATATAAAAGTTGGTTAACTAATTTGAATATATTAAGAAAGTTTGTTAAGGTAATTATTTGTAATAAACATATGTTGTCTTTCTTAAAATGTAATTGCTAATTATGTGTATTAACTATAATTATCATTTGATGAAATCATTAACATTTACAACTACTACAAGGACAATTTTGGAAGAAAATACATAAATATAAGAGACAAAGTGAATTGGGATGTTATATTTAGGACCAAATTAAAAATTAAACTAAGTCTTATATTAAAAATTAGATTTAATATATAATTATGCAGAGACTATGATTAAGATATATAACATATTTCACTCCATTGGTCTAACTCCCAAATGCAATTACCTTGATTCAAGTGGGACAGATATTAATGGTTTGAAGTTACAACCGCAAACTCCCACCTATTAAAAGGTATTTATGCTAGCAGGTTACAAAACCATTAGTGGAACTTTCTCAACTTGACTAGTTGTTTAAGTGATCTGGATAGCCCACTATGGTCCAGTCACCTTGAACTAGGATAATTTAGGAAATGCAAATTTCAAACAATTTTGGGTTGGGCCAGCCCATTAGATCTGGACAAGTTGAATCCTCCAGCCCAGCAACAAGGTGGCTCTGCAATACTCCAGCAAAACATGGTCTTCAATGAAGAACAGTGGCGCTTCCAAATCCCATTCTAGAGCTGGAGTTACACTTACCGGATTCTTCTAGCACATCAATGGAATTACTTCAATGATTTCTCCTCTTGGACACCACTTCAAATAACATCCCAAAAAATCCAGTGCCTTTATTTTCAACATAAGTTGCAGAACCACCTTTGTAGGAAGCAAAAACACAGATGTCTAACTGGTTTGACTGATAAAAAATTAAATACAGGTGAAACTTCCTCTATAGACAAGTCTTTACGCATGAAAAGAGTTAAAGAGCATTCTTGCCCGGTAGCCTAAGTAGAAATACCATTCAAAAATTGTTTTAAAGTTCTAGTAGAATCTAGCACTTCTTGCTGACATTTGAATCTCAACGTTTTCTTAAAAAAAACAGTGAAAATTGAAGGGGTTCTGAACAAGCTGCCTTCAGCAAGGCTAAGAACACCTGTGTAGAGAGGCTAATATTAAAACAGACAATAGACGGTAGATTTGCCAATCTCCAAGAGTTGAAATGAGCTCTTCAAATTTAACCAACTTTTGTAGGAATATAGATGACTCAGTACTTTTGATTAAGCGGTGCAAGCTCAAATAAGTTCATTTGATTTGAGTTCAAATACGAGATTATGAAATCTATTTGTCTTGTTTGGCTAAATTTTTTGAAATTCTAACAAATCATAATTTTCAGTCTCTATCAGACATTTGAATATAAGTTACTTGGGATTGGTTTTGTGATTAGAAAAAACGTTTAACAATGTGCCCATCTACCATTGTTAATAATAATTACTAAACGAAACTTAGATTTGAATAACAATAATTAATACTTATTACTAAAGGGAAATTGTATTAAGAATAATATTTACTATTAAATGACAATAGATTTAAATAATAATTATAATTATGAAAATGTCAGCAACTTTATAAATTTCATATCCTTTTGGTAATTATCAATATTCTCAGAGTATAAGAAAAAGTATCCAAACCAAAATTATGATTAACCAATAGACTTTTAATTATTATTACTTATAAAAATTACGATCACATAAAATCATAGTTATTTACTGTTAATCCAAATGAGTACTAGATTATCCATTAAAGAAGTTCTAAGTCCTCCTACAACGCGAAGAAAGGGGGGTTGTTCACTGCAACAAGCTGCAAATACAAACGCAGAGATTAATTAAGGATAGGTGTCAGGCAACAAAAGAAAAGCACGAGAGTTTTGCAATAGTCAAACTTTAACTAACAATGGTAAGAAAGACCAGGTCGGAGATTTCAACCCAACCTTGCCACTTGCCACTTGCCCCTTGCCCCTTGCCCCTTGCATGCACCAGATCAGCCAAAGAAAGAGAGAAAACGGTGCAAACTCAGCTAAAAAAATGGAGAAGACTAAATGACTTGGCCAGAGAAAGGGAGCAGACAATGCCAACACTACAGGGAAGAAAAAAAGTATTTAATAGCGGTTAAAATGAGCTTTTCATGAAGATTTTGGAATCGTAGTGAATTCCGTCAATGTTATAAAGAGAAAATCTTACGATGGTTTTTATATAAACCACTGAAAAGTTATGAAAGAAACTGCCGTGAAAAGTTGGTTTTTAATAGCGGTTATCCAAATAACTGTCATAAATGTATTAGTTTTTACTGATATACTATGTTTAATTTTCTATATAACCTCCCTGTAATTTATAGACCAACTTCAATCAACATAGCAAAAGAATATGTAAAACCATTTCAAGACATAAACTCAATCCTAACACTAACATCTAATTTTATTCAATCAACCACACCTAATAATAACAACTTAACTAGTTAATAATCAAACAATGAACTCAATTTTTCTACAGCGTCAATGAGTATAGTTGTACTGTCAAGCTCAATTCTAATTACCTAATTCAAATATTCAAATAAATAAAATAATTAAATGTTAGTTAATAAATTAAAATTGATTAATACTTAATTACAAATTAAAGGGAATGTCTTTTTTATTTTATAAAAATTTTGACAGAATTTCCTTTTAAATATAACGAATTTCAAATTATTTAAACAATATACAAATCAATCAATCAATCAACAATATAAGAAATAAATACAAGATAAATTTGAGCAACTATAACTAACAAAACAAAAGTAACAAATTCAAACTAATCCAATGAATAAAGATTTTTAAAGTTAAAACTTCTGAATCCAAAATATGAACATAAATTATATCTATTAGCCATGAAATTTTAAATAACACTTTATTATCAATCAAAATTTATAACAGAAAAAAATTGGCTCAAACACTTAACATATTATTTATT